ATGTGTGCCCAAAATAATTTCAGCATGATGGAGAAATGGAGGAATAAGGGACTGTGGTGTGACTGGGCCTCATTGAGGAACTATGCTCTCTCTCTCTCTGCCACTCTAACAATTTAAAAAAAAATGTCAAAAAAGAAAAGGATGCTATCTTCTCAGTGTCATAAAAGTGTCCCATAACACAATCTATCTAGAATGAACATAAACATAACAATTCAAACCTCCCCCCAAAATAATTCTTACCTGAAATCCACCACAAGGTATAGGACTTCACTCTGAAAGTATTTTTCAAGTAATCAGTTAAAGTGTAAGTTCTGCGATTGTCAGTTGTAGCATTATCTGTTAGTTGAAAAAAAAGAGCCAAATGTTCAGTAAGGCAGCTAAATATTACATGAAGTAAACAAACTAGTCTCTACAATATACCTAGCTGAAATACACTCACAAATTGACAAAACATATTTTGAAAGATTTCAAAATGCACGTAACTCTCAAGTATGTGAGTGTCTCTCCTTAGAGACTTTTAAGACATGCTGATCACCCAATTTAGTTTTTTTTAATATTTTTTTCATATCATTAATTTTCTTTAAATTTTGTATAATTCATGTGGTTCTGTATTCTGCAACTGGCACCTCAAGTTTAGAGTCTGAAAAATCACTTTTGAGGTCTTCTTCCCTTTCTGCCACCCTTATCTAACTGGATCTATTGATTCTTCATGCAAAATCTTTTTCCAGTTATACCCACCATCAAGTTCTTCCATTCTAATCCCTCCTCTGAACTACCACTGGAATGATTTTTTTCTTTTCTTTTCAGATGTCAGTTTCTCATCTGAGTGATCTCTTCCTGGAAAGCAAGCTTCCTGACAAGAAGATTCCAAGTCTTTAATCTAGTATGTGCTGTCCTCTACCTTCTGGTGGGAGGCTCCCTTCCCAGGCTCTTCTTGTACATTTTCTCACTAGAGGAACCATCTCACCTATCACGTAATCTTCACCCTGCACCCGGGAGCTCTTCTGGGCTTTTTCACCTCAGCTCCTTGTCCTAAGCCACTTCGCCACAATATCTTCAACTGCTTCCCTGTCACAATCTGCCATCCTCTGACTCCTGCTTGTTTCATGAAGACTTCTATTCTGCCTCCTCTGACTTTTCCCCACACTACTCATTTGGGTTTTTAATTACCTGTTTAAAAAATTTCTATTTTTCCATATCTACCTGTGTGGTATACTCAGGTAGGCCATACATTCTTTAAAGACAGGGCCTTGTTTTTTGTGTTAGTTTATTTTTAGTTTTTGTTTTCTTTTGCAACAACCTCAGCACCTAGCACAGTCCAATGCCACAGTAGACACACACATATAGTCTTTGTTTATTTTTTTTATTGACATAGGATATCATCCTGTAAGCATAATCAAGCCAATGTGATTTCTCTTCCCCAATTCCAGAGTCTGTCAACTGATGACAAAGAGCTCTTTTTATCTACTTCTTTCATGTACACAAAAATGCACACACAATCAGCCTTCATCAAAGCATTCCTATAATCTATAAGCACAGGAGGAATGGAAAGCCAGCAGCACCCTCTCTTGCTAATTTTTCACAGCTTATAAGAAGGTAATTCTCTTACAGGAAGCATTGTTTTTTTTTTTTTTTTTTCAGGTTTTGTGCCATAGGTCACGTGTGCTCACTAGAGAGAGACAAAGCCAAAGAGAGGAAAAGTGAGAAATCACTTCCCAAGGGGGATGGTCATGCTGCAGTCCCTTCTGCTCCATTCTCCTCTTGGGATTTTAGGCATGTATGTCCATGCATCTAGCATGATTTTTAGGCTGCTGGATCCAGGGTTTAAACCATGGTCAGCCATGTGGGAGTCCAGCACCTTAACCTTCACTCCACCTGCTGGTCCCTGGGAATCACTCTTAATTTAGCAATGAGACTTCTCCACATTCACTTCATTCTAGTAGTAACTATGAACAACCATTGGGACAAACATTACTATATCAGTGAGAGACAGCACTGGCTTCTGAGTAAATGAAAACACAAACAGACGTATAAGCAAATTATTTGTGCATGTATTTATTTTTTCCTATGTAACAAACATTCTGAAAAGAGGGTTTTCTTAATTTTAGAGCAGAGGCTCATGCATATTAAAGACTTGGAATATGACATTGCATTAACATCTTCCTCATGCTTGCATGATAGAAGCAGTAGTTCTAGCCACCAAATCAATTTTCCATGCAAAATAAAGAAGAAAATCCAAGGTTAAAAAAAAAAATCTTTCCTTTTTTTCGTTTCTCTTTTTTTATAGATTTTTGTAGGTCACGTGTGCTCACTAGAGAGAGACAAAGCCAAAGAGAGGAAAAGTGAGAAATCACTTCCCAAGGGGGATGGTCATGCTGCAGTCCCTTCTGCTCCATTCTCCTCTTGGGATTTTAGGCATGTATGTCCATGCATCTAGCATGATTTTTAGGCTGCTGGATCCAGGGTTTAAACCATGGTCAGCCATGTGGGAGTCCAGCACCTTAACCTTCACTCCACCTGCTGGTCCCTGGG